AATCGATAGAAGGACCCCGAAAAGTAGCTGTAATGACCGTCAGTGGCAAAACACATGTGACCAGAAATTCAGCATAATAACACACGCACAATGCTCTATACGTTACAAACAGAGCATGTGCACGTATACAAATTTACGAAGCTACTGCTTCAAATCTACAGGGTGACTGAAGTTGCAAAATTCGATAAGGTACAAGGTACCGTAGATTGTCAAAACCAGAGGTATTTTTCAGTCCTACAAGGCTGGGTTCCTGCACCTACAAACAGAGCTTAGCTGCTTATCTAGCTAATGCGTTAAAAAATGCTATGTGATGTACGCGTTGCTAAATCGTGGCGATAATCCAGTTACGTATCGTAGATTCAACATGAGGTTTTGAGCACGAGAGGAACAACATATTGCCGTAACTCCCCCTTAGCTAACGCATATCAGCTTCATGATAGAATATCTCTTGAATAAGATATATAACATGCTCGCCCTTCCAGACTTCTCTGTGTAGAGATAGATAGGATATAGCTCAAGAGCAAATCTCCTCCAAAACAAACTGTGAAGTTTACTGGCACTTCGCGCCAGTTTTTTTTTTTTGAGCCGGAATAAACGGGTTACTGTAGATCACCATATCTCAGTGTCTACTGTTAGGCAATTAGACTGTATTTTATCGCCAGATCGCTTCTAAATTTTTTGATTTTGAGGATTCCTCTTACTCTATTTTTTGCCAATCATGTGTACCCAGTGAATCCACTAATCTTTTCAGATTGGTCTATTCCCGGCGAGCTATGTGCAAGTGATGTGATTACGGACATATTACCTTCATCCTGAAAAGTATACATATATATGTAGTTTATTGCAATTTACGCTGAGAGTCTGCTTTATTTGATACTATTTCCTGTGTGGGCTTTTTGGGTACCAAGGGAGATTTCTTAATCGCACATTGCCTGACACTTTATCTGCCGTTGAAGTAATTATGAAGACAAAAATCATTAGTTACGGATTACTGTAGATGCTCCAGTATCATGATATATAGAGCTGCTGACTGATTTGTCACCTAGACGCCTTCATTCCAATTTCTCTAAAACAAGGAAAACTGCTGTAATTTTTCCCTTGATATCCATATATCTTGTAAGTGTCATTCTTTCTTGTCACAGTAAATAATTTATTCTTCACTGTTTGCGTTGTTCTGGGATTTTAATCAATATCTATTCATTTCTTTGAGATCTATATAGTAAAATCCGTATTTGATCAAGTCTTCGTCGCGGCTATGAGTTCTTTGGAAAATACTCGATGCCAAGAAATATTGTGAGGAGACTTCCGACATCTGGAACCTGCAAAGCAAAACATTTTGCTAAAGCGCAGTGAAAGCCTAGACGTCAAGAGTTGCCAGTGGGCCAGTGCCGTGCCAGCTCAGCATGGACGCGCCCCCTATTGGTCGAAGGACTGCGCTGGCACGAAACAGTTCAATGCTGGCACGAGCAATTCTAGAGAAATTGATGCTACTTACCAGTATATCAGCATGTGATTTCAAATGTTCTAGAGATCCTACACCCGATAATACACCAATGGCTGCACCTAAGCCTGCAGCTCGTGCCATACCCAAGTCTGCCAACGTATCCCCTACCATTACCGTATTCTATAATTTTCTTGGATTTATGCCATGCATGATAAATGAGACTGTACCTCAGGAGGAGTATTCGTGGCTTGGCAAATAAAGCTAGCATTGCGAGGATGCGGTTTTGGCTTTGATCCAGGATCGTCACCGCAAACTAAAACGTCTACCAAGTCTTCGACACCGAACCTTCGCAGCATTGCAACGGTGTTTACCCTAAAGAAGTTAGAAATAGTGAAACGAAAAATGTGAAATTTGCTTGAATCGAAAACCAAAGTTGGCTGATACGCCATATCGTGACAGGACCATGTCTGTTCTCTACTCGTTCTCTGTAGTCTCTAGCTGGCAAAATGCCAGCGCTCGCGAGGCTACACCTGCGCGTACGTACCATTTTGGAGCTTCTAACCCATTTTGAATGAAAAGATCGTACATGTTTTATGTCCCACCTATTATCTGCAGTACAAACAGCAGTCTTGACATCATTATCCTTCAATGCGCCGAACAATAACTGCATGTCCTGTATAGCTTGGAAGCTTGATGGGCATCGCAAGTGGCTGTCCTGTATACACTTGTCGATGATCTCAAACTCCTAAAAATCATTCTATATTCTAAACTGTGCATCATCAAATAAATTGAAATTTACATAATGAGTTCCACGTCCATTTCTTATAAGCAATTTCTGAAGTTCGTGCTTGATTTGAGCCATGGTTCCTTCGGCTAAAAGTCCTGGCCTAACCTAAATTTGAAAAATTTACTCATCAAAAAGAAAAATTACTGTAAAGATTGGTTACTTTTCCTTCTGCAGGTGAAAGTCCAAGTAGTTCATAAATCTGACGCGATAGAGGTAATCCCGTTGCTTGTTCTAATCTGCAAAATATCATTCTATGAAAAAAGTTACGCAACGATTCAAAACTGGTCCACAAGAAAAATTGAACGCTATTTTTTTGAGCTTATAATCTCGCAACGATGCAGAGTAAGCTTTGTGCTGAAGGCATTTTCCTACTAGAACTAATGATCTTTTGTGGATGCTAAAAGCTTTGCGATGGTTCGTTAATGTCATACAATGCTGGATTTTTTTTCACTTAATGCCACTGAATTGCAGACTTTCTTGATATGAAGCATCAAAGCTTGATTGTAAATTTCTTTGAAACGCTGCCGCGCAGCAAATCTCGTTAAGAACATGTTTTTCAATGGTGGTCGTCGGAGGTGCTTTGGTCAAGGTCATCCACCAACTACACAAGGAGTAGAATGAGCGTAACATGCTATCATGGGATCAAAAGTAATCACTGGGCTAGGTCTAGAAAATTTTGCAGATCCGTTGAAACTCGGACAGGATCCGAGTCAATTCTGACCAGCTGACTTGCTCACTATCTTTATTTCGAAAAATAGTAATAGAAATGGCGCGATTTACCAAAATAATAGTTGTGAAGTCCCATTCTGATAAACTCTTACGAGATACGAGTTGGTATGCTGCTATGAGCTTCCTGCTATCAAAATTGAAAGCTGGATAGTTTTTACGCCCAAGAAATGATGCAAAATCATTTAGTTTACGAACAGGAACTTATCTGTTGTGAAAATGCTGTTCCTATGATGTCCAAACTGGTTTCATAATT